TAAGATACATCAACTAATTAAATTTTCCAAAATATTATTACAGAAAAAAATCCAAAGTTTCAAAAACACAGCATCTGAGAACAGGTTGTACATTTTTTTTTTCCCACAACAAATACATAAAGTTTAGGTGTGACCCATAATCCTATCACTAAAGATCATGTATCCAATTTTGAGAGAGTAACCAGTTTTCATAATACGAAAAGGTGAGAGGTAGAGGCAGAACTCCTTTAACAACAATGAGAAGAAGCCCAAGTCTCAAGCATTATGCCAATCATGAATTTTTCAGTTCATATAAGCATGACAGCAAAAAATAAGGGGAGAATGCAAATATATGAGAAGAAGTATCCAACAATTTGCTTCAACATTCGAGAAACAATCTTAGTTTTGCAATATTGGGAAAATTTAGAGACTACTAGACCATAAAACCACAAAGGAAACCCCGACTACAGCTATTAATCAAAGATTGGGTAGCATTTATGAGTAGCCCTAGTTTTATCCATAGCAGCTTCCACAATATTGGGCTTATAAACCCAATGGGCAGGATATTGGTTTGATTGTTAGACATATTGAACACCAAATCAGTCAACATTGACATATGAATCATGTTTTGGAAGCCAAACATCTTATAAGAGCGAAAAGACTATTGACTCAAAGGTTTACTTATCTCTAGATAATTGCTAAAACTATCTGTCTTATCTGACAGTCGCTGCATTATAGATAATTGCTAAAACTATCTGTCTTATTTGACAGTCGCTGCATTGTTAGAAAGTTTCTGATTTCACGCACGCATACACACACCCACCCACACGCACGCGCGCGCACACATTATTTTTTCATTAGTGGACAAATTAAAGTTTTTGATCCACACACACACACACACACACACACAGTATTTTTTCATTAGTGGACAAATTAAAGTTTTTGATCTTTATGTTGTCTTTGAAGTTTTTGGCATCATTTTTTTTATCCACTTCTTGTTAACACACACACACACACACACACACACACACATTATTTTTCCATTAGTGGACAAATTAAAGTTTTTAATCTTTATGTTGTCTTTGAAGTTTTTGGCATCCTTTTTTTTGTCCACCTCTTGTTGTCTTTGAAGTTGTAAGTTATGTGGTTGGAACATAATCTTCTTGTTGAGTTTGCTGAAATCCATGTGCGACCTCAGCTTTTGGCTCAAAATCATTTTAGGCAAACTATGGGACTTTGACTCAGCCTCTTAGTAAATATGGTGCCCTAACCCCATTTATATGTAATAATCCCTATCATATTTAACTTTGGAGATTCCAAAGACTTTTGTTTTCCCTTCCTGAAAAGCCTGTCAATTCAGTTTTTGAAATATATGTTTTTTTTTTAGTTTAGGATTTTGATTGCTTTTGATGAATTTGCATCAAGTATTCCTGTACTTGATCTTTCCCTTTTTATCTTTTTTGGTACATCAGGAAATGGATATATTGTTTCTTGTTTCTGTTTGTTGTTTGTATAATGGAAATTTACTCTTTTGGTTTGGATCTTAAGAGACGTTTGGACTTGTAAACAAAAAAATTCTGCTAAAGTGTATCTGGTCTTAAACTAAGGAGATGACATTTGTGTAAATAACTTGAGTAGTTATATGGAACTCACTTTTCCAGTTGGTAAAATTGACAAGAATATTATTCAGAATTATAAAAATAAATTTCCTATACTTTTTTGACATCCATAACAAATAATATCTCTTGGTTGATTTATTTAAGTGTTTATTAGGATTTATTTTTTACAATTGAAGTAGTATATCATACTTGTACTGCTCATAGATGTTCGTTGGGGATGGAGCAAAACTTGTTCGTGATGCTTTTCAGCTTACGAAGGAGAAATCTCCTTGTATTATTTTTATAGATGAAATTGATGCTATAGGCACAAAGCGGTTTGACAGGTATGCCATCTCTCTATTTTATGTGTAATTTTCTAATCTGCCTTGGCAATTTTCTGAATCTTGGTGTAATGGATTTTGAATTGAATACTTAAGAAGTTACGTTATAATGTGACTAATTGATTGTAAATTGTTTCTTTCAATGTAGTGAAGTCAGTAGGAATAGGGAGGTCCAACGGACAATGTTAGAGTTACTCAATCAGCTTGATGGATTTAGTAGTGATGAACGGATGAAGGTCTTTATCTTTGCCTTTAATTAAACACACTTTTAGTTTTCTGGTCACACGTTCAGGCAATTGTGAGCATTTAGAAGGTTTTGAATTCAATAATTAGCAGAGTTTTATTTGGTCCCCATATTTTTGGCATGGAGATTGTATCTTCAGAACTTCTTACTTTGTTGAAGTGTCAGATATAATTCTGGGCTATGGTTTCTACATTTTGAGTGTCTTTAGATTATAGTTTTCCTCACCGGCTGAGTCATAGCAGACTCATCTGTGCCCGTGTCTATGAACCATGCTTCAGATGCCACCAACAAATAGCTACTTCACTAATAAAATTTCAGTTAACTTAAATTATTATCTGAGTTAGTAATTCAGTATTTCATAATCTCATGAATTGCAGGTAACAAATACAGCTGATATTTTGGATCATGCACTCATGCGTTCTGGTCGATTGATAAACTTATTATTAGGCAAGGTAGGTTAGGTGACATGACTAGGACATTAGGGACCGACAATAATACTGCTTGAGTGAGGCAATGTGTATATTTTGGTCATTTATATTTATTTATGTACTTAATTTGGACATTTTCGTTAGACTTTTTCTCAAATATCACCGATTCCATTATAATCTAAAAATATTTGTGTAGTTCAGAATGAACTACAGATGACCTAGGCGAATATTCTGGAATTGTAGTAGCTTTAGTCAATGTAGGAGGTGTGGAGGTTTGGATTGGTGAGACATGATATTCAATGTGGTAAAAGAACCGCGTTTTGAGGCATAAATGAATTAATCATTTGTTGGTTCTCTATGTTTTTTAACATTCCTTCTATAAGAATTTATTACTCTTCTATTATGCTACTTGGTATCCATATGTGTTATAATTTGCAACCACAAAAACTGAAATCTAATTCTTTTCATCATTGTTCATATTTCATCTCCCTTTTCCAATAAAAATTCTTTCTAATGAAATGAATTTATTCTTTGTTTTTTGTATCTCAGAAGAAGAGGTCCTTTCAGCTCCTCTAAAATTGGTGTACAGCAAACTAATCTTGTAGTTAGCCCCTTGATTATTTAAGTTAAATAATCTTAATTTAATTCTATTATTGTTGCCTAAGCAAGTCATAGCTAACTGTGTTTCTGTTCTTTATTGCAGATTCACAAGGAAACTTTTGGTTGCAGTCGTAGAGAAGTGGGACAATCATGTGCTTGTCATTGACAAAGTTTGCCCCCCTAATTGGATGGTTTGATGTGCAACTTAACTACATAAAATTCCTAGTTTCCTTACTGTACTCTCTTTATTTTAGACTATAGACTCTGTTTCTCTTAAGTGAATGACTTAAGTATAATTCTTTAAAACCTGAGCTACATTCTGCATTGATTCATAATGTTTTCCCCCTAGACCTTTTATATCTTTCTTGGAGAATTTCCATAGTGGATATGTTAATACTATTATTTGTAGAAGTAGGAAACTTCTTCCAACTGAGAATTACTATGTCAAACACTTGTTGACTCTATACTGGATTTCACCCATACTATATAATGCAAAATAAGAAGTGAGTGACACTTTTTTTATTATTATTATTTTATACTTTCTTCACTACTTAAGTCTCTACAACAAGGATAGGATATTCAAATATAACAAGATTCACCTTTTATGTGTATGGTGATGTGTGTTTAGCACCTTCTGTTCATGTCAGAAGGCAACACTTCTGTGTTCACATATTACAGGTCATGCACTATTAAAGGTGGGGTTTTGTCAAGGGAATTATAAATTGACATTGAAATTTCACACACACACACACACACACACACACACACACACACACATATATATCACCATGAACTTGTGTTTGGCCTCCATCTAAACTGGTTGCCATTCAAGTTTCAAGTCTATGCATGCTTTATTAATGATGAAATATGCATCTTTTATTCTTGTTTCCTAATATGGGAATTTTATTTTAACTGATAAAATGATGAGAATGACAATACTATATAATCATGGAAAGGAATGGGGACATTTGGACTCCATGGGAACAAATAATTCCATTACGTTTTAGATAGCACTAAATTGATTCTCAATTGTCCTTCTTTTGCCAATAAATTCTTAATGATGCATGAATAGTACCATCAACAGCAAAATGAGTTTACATAAGCTTATTGTAATAATAAAAGCATAACAGTTACTTTAAATTAAACAAAAAATTAAAATCGTAAGAGCTAGTTATGCAGTGAGATTGAGAACAATATGTTTGTGTGTGTGTGTGGGAGAGAGAGAGAGACGAACCTGAAGGGAGGCCATGAAGGAAATAAGTTGAAAGTTAGAAGAATAATAGAAATCTGAACTTGAGAAGTGGGGATGCCACTACGGCTGGGTTACAGAGACGGGGAGAGAGAGGGCATCTTATTTGGGCGTTGCTAGCCTGACTTTTTCCGGGCCAAGATCAACCCCTCTTTTCTCGTTGAAGCCTTCGGAGAGAAAGAAAGACCAGGGAGTGAAGCAGTATCAATTAGTCCAGCTCGATAGCTGGGATAGCCAAAGAAAAGCACTGGCGTACTCGTACCCCCTCTCGATTCGACTGATGCGGCCAAGGATCGGGCAGTCTTGGTTGTTCCGCTGTTACAGTTCCTAGCTAGGGGATGGGTGGAATCACCAATAGTAAAGAAGCAACTAGGGTTTTTGAGAAGCTTTCTTCTCTTTTAGATTTTACAGAGGCGGAGAGAGAGAGAGGGCTGCACTGAACGAATGCTAGGGCTGCAATTAGGTTAATATATTAAAATATGGAGAAAGGGCATTTTAGCCAACACAGAAAAAAAAGGGAAGGGTATTTTAGGCACCACAAGTTCTAAACAGTAAAAATCCATGTGCCACCTCAGCTTTTGGGTCAAACTCATTTTAGGGAAACTATGGGACTTTGACTCAGTCTCTAAGTAAATATGATGCCCTAACCCCATTTATATGTAATAATCCCAAAATAATATATGCAAAAATGAATATAATATATATATATATTCACTTTATGCAATATAGATGCCACCACCATACAAGCCCATTTTTCTTCCCTTATTAGTCTTGCTTCTTTTATTTGCTGGCAGATTTGGAAAAGTAGGAATGCTTGGGTTTTTCAACAGAAATGGTGGGATCCCAAGTCGACTTTGGATAAAGCTCTCGATAATTTTTCTGAGTTTTTGGAGGTGTGTAGCCGAGGTCTTTTGTCGCAGGTCTCATCTTCTCTTGCTCCTGTGCCGGTCCGTTGGTCCAAACCTCATCAGGGAAAGTTTAAGTTGAATGTTGATGCCGCTTTTTGTGAATCTTTGAAAGTGGCGGGCGGAGGCCTGGTGCTTCGTGATGATGTTGGAAGGCCTATCAAGGTTGTTTCTCTTTTTTTGGAATTTATTTCAGATGTTGAGGTTGCGGAGGCTATGGTTGTGCGTGAAGGCCTCTACTTACTTTCTCTCTGGGGGTATCAAGACGTGGAGGTGGAGAGCGATTGTCTCAATGTTTCAAACTTTTCTCCCTCGAATTGCCGTTCGGCCATTTTGGTTGAGGATATCAGATGTTTGCTGGGATCCAACTTGGGGTTCTCCTTAGGATGGGCTCCTCGTTCTTGCAATAGAATTGCCCATTTGTTGAGTAAATGGGCTTTGTCTACAAAGTGTAATGATTTTCTTTGGCCAGTGTGGCTTGTTTGGTTGCTTTCAGCTTTGGAGGCTGACTTGTCCGTTGTGGGGGCTTCTGTTGGAGAAATTATTGTATGGACCGAGTCCATACACCTCATTTGCTGAGTTGGTGGACTACACCAATTAATTCTAGACAGCTGTAATAAAAAATTATTTTTATATTCAATTTGCCACATCAGCGCAGATGGGTGAAGAAATTGACGGAAAGAAACAGAATTTTTCTCTCTCTTCCATGGGTTTCGTTCCCTTCTCGTTTTATGTGTGCAACTTTTCAGAAATTATTTCTTTCTAACCAGTTTTCCTTAATTCAAATTATTCTTCCGCAATTCAATTTTCAAGAATTCAAACCTCTCTCCATTTATCTTAAAATTTTATTCAAAATAAGTTCCTAGATGATGCTTTGTGAATGATTGAAGAAAGCGGGTCACAATGGAAACAGGGATGGTTTTGGGGTGGAAGTGATTGAGAAATCTGAGGTCCAGATTAATTACTTGTGTCGTCTAGAATTCAATTCTCCAGCAAGTATTTTACAGATTTCTATTCTTTATGCACGAATGGTATTCGAGCTCATCAACGAAACTAACTTACAAATCTCCAACAACAACTAGCGCAGAGATGGGTTCTCGTTGGAGATTTATATTCTCCACATCCAAGAAAAAATTGGTGCTTTGAAACCTCAATGGATGCTTTGAAATTCTCAAAGAATGATTGAATCATGTAGACAGATGGATGTTGGGTTGTTTGGGTTTCCTTTACATGGTGTAACCAAAGGGATGACATACCATTTCTTTTCTTGTTGCTACAAACGTAAGTGGTTAATGTAGTTTTTTTTTTTTTTTCCTGTGGTACTGCTTGACGTTTTTTTTGTGTGAGTTTTGAGGTTTTATACTTCTTTACAAGGCAACAAAATAGGTCATTGATGTTGTTGATAGATCATTGCTTTTAGTACCCAAAATGCAATATTCATTTTTTAAAATTTTCTGAGGGAAAAGGTTCACTATTATCTATCAGTTTGGACATATACTTAAATGAATTTGCATAAATCAACAGAATTGATCAAACTTATGAAGTTTATGCCAAATCTAATTAAAAAAAATCACAATTTTTTTTTTAAGAAAACAATTATTATTACTCCGTATTTGTTTAAAAATATTCAGGATGCAGAATGAAAAATTCGGAAGATAATGAATTTGATTGCCTTCAACTTTAAAACCCCTGCTTTGTCAATACTCCTGAATTTTGGATCAACCGTACAAATTATATTCTATTGTTATGAACTTGTGATTGTTTATCATGTAAGGATGATATGTAGAACACATCCCAGAAATAATTCACTGAACATGAACCCAGAAAAGGAAAAACAATCCACTAAATCAAAATTAACCAATAACAGAAGCTTTAATAAAAATAATATTGTACATCAGTTTGGGATTCATCTTCCATTACAAAAAATCAAGAGTAAAATGTACTTTTTTTTCATCATAATAGAAAAAGGACAAAATTATCAAGACGAATAGAGAAAATGGTCATATAGCTCTCTTAGGAAGTCCCACAATTTCCATGGTCTCATTTCTCAAACATCTACAAAAATACCAAAGCAATTACAAAACATAAAAGTTAGGATATAAAGGATAATTTAAACATAATTTAAACATTTATTCATGTTTAAAAAGAAAGTGAAATGTTCATACCTGATTAAAGTTATTAGAATTGTGACTTGCTTGATTTGGCAAAAAAGATTGCATTTGTTGAAAGCTTACAAAAGGACTTTTATGATATCCAAAAACCTGTATGGAATATTGTAACAAACCTTTTAAATAAATAACAATTATAAGATAACCTCTATATGAATGACTACACATACACCTTGTATTATATCTACATGATTATGGGAGTTAGATACCATTTGTTGAGAGAAAGAAACCCTTAAATCTTCTCTTACAGATGTTGTTACCCTTTTTTTTGGCTTTTTCTTTCGCTTCTCCAAGCTGCCCTTAATTCTACCATATGTTACCCCTTTTGGCCTCATACGGGGAGGATCCAACACCACATTTTCATCAATTGAGCCATTTACTTCATTTGCAACATCAACTCTATCAGAATTACTACCATCCATCACATTCCTTGATTTAATATTTCTAACTTCTTGTACAATTTGGTCTAGATGGCCATTTGCAACCATAAATGTTTCATCATCATATGCACTTAAACTCATAACACTAAAAGCTTTGCACATGAGCTTGTTCAAAAAGATTGTCTTTGACGATGTTGCTGCATTCTTGGATATCTCACCATTTTCATCAATGATAATCACTTCCTTTACACCTTTTGTCCACCTCTTCAAAATATAATCACTTGGAATATTTTGGATGGCATTATGATTCAATAGCTTTAAACCATGTCGACACAACAAGCCCAAAGATTCAAAACTTTTACAACTACACTGAACAATGAGATTAGAATAGTGAAATTCTACCATATGTTCTCTATTGCAACCCATGCCTTTCAAATTGTAAATGAGAAGTTCCCCAACAGAATTAACATGAATAATTTGTTCATTTAAAGCTTTTAAGAACTCTGCTTGAAACATTTTAAAAATCTTATGTGTATACACTTGAGCTGCATGGAGTAAAGTACAATTATTAGGCATTAGCAAGGGAGGCTTACCTCTAGCACATGTAAAATCATCTGCCACTTCAATTTCAGGCATTCGACTTGCACTTCCATCATAATGCTGCACAAATTCAGTAAGAGTCATGGACTTGCAAGCAATATGTTGAAAGATATTATTTGTACTCTCACTTCTTTGTGTTGATAAAATATTGGCCGAGAATGTATCACGATTAAAAACTTGGCACCACTTCTCACGAACGTCATATAATTTACTCAACCATTTATTCCCTACAATGTCATGCTCCTCATTTATCTTTCCCCAAATGGACTCAAATTCTTCTTCTGTTTCACAACCATAAAAGAGCTTTGTCAACTTATCCTTGAACCTAGGATTTGCAAACAAAGTAGAAATATTTTGAGCTGCATTTTTCATGATATGCCATGTGCATAGGCGATGTCGCGTGTTAGGTAACACCTTACGTATAGCATTTGCCATTGCACTATCTTGGTCGGTGAAAATTGTACTAGGAGCCTTATTTCCCATCGCCTCCAGAAATGCTTCAAATAACCATACAAAAGAAGCTGTTGTTTCATTCAATAAAAAAAACGCAACCGAATAATACGTTCTTCCAGTGATGATTTACTCCAACAAAAAGAGTACAAATCATATTGTACTTATTTGTTCGGTAAGTGGTATCAAATATAACGACATCTCCAAAATATTGATAATTCAATTTAGAGGAACCATCTCTCCAAAAAAAAATTAGTCATTCGATTTTGATCATCAACTTGAACTGTGTAAAAAGACATTGGATTTTCTGATTGCTTGCACTTGAAATAATTGATGATACTTTGAGCATCTCCTGCTTCTATTGATTTTGATTTTTCAGATTGTAAGAAGTTATGACAATCACGTTCTGTGAACCCAACATGTTGAACTCCACCAGCCTCTTTAGACAAGTATGAGTATGCCTTAGTCGCTCTTATACCGACTTTCGACATGGAACTCAAGATATTTGCACTAGTACTAGTAATCTTTCGCTCTGACCTCAACAAGTGTCTTTCTTCGAGCTTTGCAAGTACATGGTTATGTTCTGAAATAAACTTAACCAATTCCCAAATACCATTTTCTGCATTAAATACAGCACGAGCTTTGCAAGCTGTCCTAGTTAGCATTCTTTCATATTTTTTTTCTTCAAAAAGTGGACCATCTTCCTTAAAGCCTTCACATGAACACAAAAAGATACGTCGCCGCAAACCACCAGTACCTTCATACCTCCGAACTTTTCCTTTACGTACACTAAACCCTTTGTTTATAGCATAAGTGTTGTACAGATTGTAAGCTTCTTCCTCACTATATACCAACATTCCAACTTTTTGTGATACCCCTCAATTCTAAAGCCACGGGTGATCAAGTCCGAGCACAGAATACAAGGGATATCAAACAATTAATATATAAACAAGCATTTGAATACAAAAAGAATAATAAAGAATAAATAAATAATAAGCTGAAGGAAACTAAATAATAAATCCCTATTTTAAAATCCTCAAATAAATAACAATTAAAAATCCAATAATAAAATCCTCCAATCTTCGGATACTAGTAATTAATTAAACTACAATTCGGGAATCCATCCTGTGGACCCCTAATAATATCCTAACTGAAATAACTGAACCGAAATAAAAATAATAAGTAACTAATGAAGGCGAGTCCTACGTAGAGTCGGAAGAGTGAATGACTGTCTCTGCTCGGCACAAACAATCTCTAAGACTGGAACTGACGAACACCTGAAAAATAATGGTTGGTCAGGCCCACAAACAAGTTCTAATCTACTACATCCCAAACAGAGACCCGATACACGTGCACATCCTAATTAATTCAACAATAACTAAATAATCCATATGTAGATATATACACACTAAAGGAACCTCACTAGACTATAGAGTTGTCTCAACCTGAATAGTAGACAACATGCAAAACGCACATATAGTGGGCATGAGTACCTAGACTTACCAGAGTACACAACTACGCTATATCTAGCTACACATTCCTGGCCTTATACGCAACCTAACCACTGATCCTGAGACTCAAGCTCATATCATGGTGTATAATTATATATTTAAAATCCGTCCTATCCAACCATCAAAAATAAACTATCCAATTATTATTTTAATAATATGTCATCCAACTATTCCGTTGACCTGACACGAATAAGTAGGACTTAACACTATGGTTAATCCGTTCCCTTATTAAAAATAGGTAGGACTTAACTTTTAAGTTAATCCGTCCCTAATATGCCCCCATCCCATAATGGTGCATTAATCCACATCATAATCAAAGAGAAGTTTCCAATCCAAAGATAATGTAAATAATATTTACATATAAACATTATATTAATCATATATACATTCTTTGCATTTACTTAAGCAAAAATATCAATTCTAAGTATCATGCATTTAATTTTTCATTACACGAAATTAAAATGCATCTCAACTAAATTGTACATCTCCATATTTTGATTAAATTAATTTAAATCTAAGCAATAGATTAAAATAATTTAATCCAGCAATATCTAATTAATTTATTCTTTCAAAATTAATTAAATTCCATCCTTAGCATGTAAACTTATATCATGCATACCAATTTAAATTAAATAAATATTTAATTCAAATCCATTAATCAAAACTAACAAATATTAATTTAATATTCTAACATTAAATAGATTACTATTAAAAATATTTAATTCAAAAACTATTTAATCAAAACAAAATAAATTAATCATAATACCAATCATTATACTAATCATTATATCCATAATAGTACCAATCATTATCTCATGGCATTATATAACAATCTGTTTTTTTTTTTTTAAAAGGAATTGTCAAAACTTTCTCAATCGGCGTGCCCAATTCATGAAAGAACAAATTCCAGTTTACGAATTGCTACAAACCCAGTTTCATGCCACTTTTTAGCTTGCCTCGTTCGGCATGCATAGCTTGTAAAAATACTAATTTTGACTTTACTTACATGCATATAACTGATGCATGGAAAAATAAAATTAAATTAAAACCAAATTTAATTCATGCTAACATAAGTCATGTAAAAAATATATATATAAATTAAATTAAATTAAACCCAAGGCCACCAACAGTGTAGGCAAAAGAAAACAAATAATTAAAACCTATGAACTGAAATTTCAACATAAATCTATGTAATTAGATCCAATTAATTTATTTAAAGAATCTAGAATTAATCTAGCATGCATAGGGTATGAATCAAAGGAGAAGAGAAGAATTAAAACTTGCCTTTAGGGATTTGATAAAAACCCTAACCTCCTTCTTCCTTTTTCTCTTCCTTCCTCTTCCTTCTTTCTCTCTCTAAAATATAGTACGTGATATATTTTCTAACCTCTTTCACAACTCTATAGTTATATATTTATAGGCAACTAAAATAACCCTAATCCTTTTCCCATTCCAAGACAAACTAAAATGAAATAAAAATAAAATAAAATAAAATTTAAATACTAAAAAGGTAACTAAATATATGTTAAGTATAATCTATGTGTACCCCTTTTTATATATAATATATAAATATATATCAGATTATTATTAAAGGGACTTTCCTTACATATACATATATATATTTATTTATTTATTAAATATACATATACATGGGTAATCATCCGTACCCATTAAACCCCTTCTCCAAGTAGTCCATGGAACCCAATTGATTGGTCAATTAATACTATTCATATCCAATTCCTTAAAAATATAAAAATAAAATAAATAAAATAAAAATAAAAATAAAACAATTAAATTCATAAATAAATACACATCATCACATTCAATTCAATTTAAACAAATAATTAAATCAATTAAACAAGTAAACAATTAGCCAAGAAAATAACTAAATAATTAAATATAATTAAAATTATTAAAATAATACCGAGACTATCCTTTTTAAATTAGGGGTATTACACTTTTAGATCAGAATTATCTTCCCTCTCGTGTATAACATAAAGGTTGTTATCATTGTCAATATGGTCTACATTAAAATTGAACAAAAAAAATTAATATCATAACAATCAAGGAATTAATTATCAGAAATGGGTTTAAACATCATACTAATATTAAAACACACCAACCTGGAGCCAATCCAACTAAAAAAATGGCCCCAAAGTTGTGCAATACATCTTTCTAGATAAACAATAGAAACAACAAACAAGTATCTTAATGTGTTTTATGTATGATGATGCTAGTATTAGTATAAATTTTCGATAATAATTTGTTTGTTTATAGAATGAAGGAATGTACCAAGAAGCTCATGGATGAGATAGGAAAAACAGAGCAGGGACTTATGATGGTTTAGAGAGAGAAAAAAGTTCAACTAGAAAAAATGGCCCCAAAATTGTGTAATACATATTTTCTTTTCTAGATAAACAATAAAAAAAACAAACAAGTATCTTAATGTATTTTATATATGATGATGCTAGTATTAGTATAAACTTTTTATAATAATTTGTTTGTTTATAGAATAAAGGAATGTACCTGAGAAGCTCATGGATGAAAGAGGAAAAACAGAGCAGGGACTTATGATGGTTTAGAGAGAGAAAGAAGTTTTGCTTGAAGATGAATTGAAAGCTGATATTTTGATGAAGCAAAAGGCGGGAAAATGAAACCAATGAGAGAGAAAGGCAGGAAAACAAAATCAAGAAGGAGAAATTATTTGTCAAGTTTTTCTTTACGTGTTAGATTCAAAATGTGGACTGAAAAAAGAGTTTGTTCCTATTAATTACTGACCTGACAACTTATAAAAAAAAATGACGTGTCGAATATAAAAATAATTTTATTATAGCTATCTAGAATTAGTCAGTGTAACTCACCAACTCCGCATATGAGGTCTATGGACTCGGTCCATACAATAATTTTTCCTTCTGTTGATGCTGCCTTGTTGAAGCCTTGGTTTCATTGAAAAAAAAAAAAAAAAAAATTACAAGCCCATTTTTTAATGGCCATTGACCGATAATTTGAATTAGATTTCAAGACAACTGACATGTACTTGGCCACGTGAATAAAGCTTGATGTCTCATCTGGATCAACTGGTTGGGAGCTCAATGCATGCTTTTTATTTGCTATTTAATTTGACAAGACCGTAGAGAGACAGACCCAAATAGATACACAACAAATTTTTGACTCACGTGCTCAATTAGAATGTCAATAGATACGAGGTGTATCCAAATGGAGAACACATTACCTGGTGGTTCAAGAATGATCAATAAATCACCTTTGCTGACACGTTGATTTCCCATAAACCATTTTATTCTTTATATATCCTTGGTTGGATATTCGAGCTGGCCTATTTTTGACAGCAACAAGTACATTCATATCTTACGTGGCGTTATTATTTGATTGGGCGCAAATTACCTTCTGTGCAATTTTCATGTTGTTTCCTAAGGTGAGCAGTAAGTAGTCTTGATTTGGTTAAATTTTACTCCACTTAATAGACACCAACACTATATTTGACAATTACACCACTATTTATAAGTAACATTTCACCACCATTTTTAAATAACGTCACAGAAATCTAAAAGTAATATCACATAGTCTAAAAAGTAATATCACCACAATTTATAAGTATCTTTCACCCTCAAAACGTAGTGATGTTACTTTTTAGACTATGTGATATAACTTTTAGACTTCTGTGATGTTACTTATAAATGGTGGTGATATTACTTTTTAGAATATTTTTACATTTCACTATCATTTATAAGTAACATCACAGAGTCTAAAAAGTAACATCACCATTTGTAAAAGGAAACATCACCACTTTTAATTTCAAATAATAACATAAATGATATGTTGAATTGAGTTATGTTTATATGTGACATTACTTTTTAGACTATGTGATTTTACTTATAAATGGTGGTGAAATGTTACTTATAAATAGTGGTGTAATTGGCCAAACACGGCCTTAGTGTCCGTTAGTTGAAGAATGATGTGGCCAAATACGAACCATTTAAAAGTTACAACAGGAAACTGCATGGGAGCCTCACTACAGGTGATTCGCGCCCTCATTGATTACAGTATCTTGCCATCAAGCTATCCGATCTCTGCATATAACACAACTCTATTGCATCATAGACTCCCGGATCTACATCCAAGCATGGATGGTCGGCTAGAAAATCAGCAAGTGCTTGGCCCTTTACAGCCCTTTAAGTCACATATTGAAAACTGAATTCCATAAGGGCCAAAGACCACTTATCTATTTGTCCAGAAATTATTGGACGAGATAGCATATACTTAATTAGGTCAGTTGCACAAATCACATAAACTAAAACAGGTAGCATATATATTCTCAATTTGTGAGC